TCACAAATGTCTTGGTTTCTTAAAACAAAGGGAAAAAAACATCTGCTAGTGCAGTGAGATTCGTTTTTGACCAGCTTACTGTATGAATCAGTTTTTAATCAAGAATAACAGAATAAGGCAACTTGTTGCAGAACACTTCTTTCAGCACAATTTCTAAAACAGCTAACTTGAATTTGAAACAGTTTGAAACAAACACTGCACTGGCAGATTTGTTCGACTTGTTTTCAAATAATAAAACTTTTATGATAATTAATGACGTGATAACATGGAGATTTGTGCAGCGCAGATAAACAGTTTTATTGCTGTTGTAGAATGTGAAGGGAATGAAAAGGTTGTAGGAAAATAAATTCCAGCATTTATTATTTCCCGCAGAAAATCCAGAGACAATAAATGTGCAGATAGATGCCAGAGAGAGGCAGAAAGACATAAATCAACATCTTTACAACAATATTTATGGGAATGCGGTCCTAATTTGAACAGAAATCACACAAAGGAAAGTAGAGGCTATCGACTGTCTTTACTATGGGCTCCTCTGCAATTACACCAAGGCAATTAATTTACGATGAATATACTGATGTTTGCAAATGGCACATGTAGCACCTGTTCAGTCAGGTAGATACATGGATAATTAGAGTGTGGTACTGATGAAGGCTGAGTGCTGAAATGTGTCTGCAGTGCTTTATCAATAAACGAAGATGGATCTGCTCTACGAGCTGCTCTGACTCATCTAATTTGGATGTTTATTGGAGCCTACACCCAACCTGAGAGCTATCGGACCACTTTAATGATATCAAAGCAGGTTGTGCAGACTTCTTCTCCCTACTTTATCAAACCAACGTGAGCTATATCGTAGGAAAATCCTCATCTTTTGCTCCTGAGCCATCTGTCGGATTAAATGGAAGATTATGAGAAAGTCCAGGGGTCCGATGCATGAAACAAAGGATAAGAAAAGTTGTGTATGCACAAAACTAAAATCGTACATATGCAGTACACTTCAAGTTCCTGAAACCTTGCCTTTGTAAAAGAGTTTTGCCAATTTTCACAGAGAAATATATATATATTTTTAAATGTAATAATTTGAAATGATTTTCACCTGAATTTTATGTTCTCACAAAAACAAAAATTGTTGTGTTTTCAGCTGCTATTTAGCATTTGTTTGTGGTAAACAATGTCCTCTTGTGATAACAGTTTAAAGCATGTTTCAGGTAAAGAGTGAAGAGTAAATACTAATGAGATGGTTACATGGTAGGTGGTTAAACTAAGTCTTAAAAGGTCCAGTGTGTAACATTTAAGATATAATATTCAAGTATGTTTTCATTAGTGTATAATCACCTGAAAATAAGAACTGTTGTGTTTTTGTTACCTTAGAATGAGCCATTTCTATCAACTATGTTTCTACAATAGCCCAGAATGGACATATTCTTTGGTGTCTTTTGCACGTTTCACGGCCACTGTAGTTTCTCTGTCTTCTTGGAAAGAGATGGTGAATCTGCAACTTAACCACTATAGATGCAACTAAATCCTACACACTGGACCTGGAAGTGTTTGCAATAAAAATAATATTTTTATTATTTGATTAACATTCAATTTTTTCAATTATTATTTGGTAAAAAGCTGATTATCACCTTTTTTTTTTTTTTTCTTACTGGACGTGTTTATTTATATGTGCTGAAAAATAAAGAGCTCAACCTATGCAGAGTTCACAGCCTCCACCATAAATGAACACTGACATGCCTCTATTAAACCGCTTCTGACTATAAACTTAAATCATCATCATATGCCAGAAAATAAGACATGCTCTGTCCTCAGTCTTGCATAGTCAGCATACACTAACAGCCCCGCAGCAGCCTTTGTATCATTACGCACCATTACATACTGCGAGTCATAACAGCCTCATGATGATTGATCACTCAGGAGCAGGTATAATTTATGATCTGATGTGTATTTTACTGCATGTTTGGACTGACAATCTAGAAAGCTATTTACTCCTGATTTTCTCCTAGTTCTAATTTTTGTGACTTGTCTGCACAGATTTCTGCTGAATAAGTATTGCAAAGGCAGAATCTAAGATATAAAGGGGTGTGTTATTTTAGTACTGTGCAATCAGCTTGAGGTCGAGCCTACACCTTGACCTCCATGCTCAACCCTGTCTCTTAGAAATCACTTTCATACCTTACTAATAGGTAGGTTAAAGTAAAATCAAGGGTGCTTTGTGACTTAAGTCTATATGAATTACTTATTTACTGATTTGACTGTGCACCTTTAAGACACCAACATGTTGCTCAAATTCCATATCGCAAAGTCAGAAAGCACGTACGTATCATTTATTCATCCGCCCGCTGGGTTCCACAAGATGCACGGAGCAGCACTTGTCTCTCCTGTCAGATATATCTGCCCTCGTGTAATCTGAAATTCCACTTTGCCCAAAATCACTCATCTCTCCCAACACTCCTCTGTTCACACCCAAGATCACTTCTTCCTCTCTCCTGCCCCCTTTTCCTCCCTGTCTTCTCTTTCTTACACAAACACAAACACACACACACACACACACACACACGCACACACACACACGCTTGTGCCAAGTTGTTAAATTTGATCTCTCCATCGTTTTTCCTACACACACACACACACACACACACACACACACACACACACAGAGGTAAACACAGTCTGGCAAAAATAGCATTCATCTCTGCATCCATCTCTGATTCTGGGCTAAAAGATGAGAATCCTTTGGCAGGAATGTGTGTCTCTCTCTCTCTCTCTCTCTCTCTCTCTCTCTCTCTCTACACACACACACACACACACACACACACACACACACACACACTCTCTCTCTCTCTCTCTCTCTCTCTCTCTCTCTCTCTCTCTATCTCAACACACAAATTGAATCTGTAGTCTTGACAGGACAGGAGGACAGGGAGGACGAATAAAAATCACCTCATTACGCACACTCTTACACATACACATCCCCTCACACAACCTCACACACACACACACACACACACACACACACACACACACACACACCAACATACACATGCACATGTGCAGACAGAGATACCCAAGCAGGTCATTCACATGCATTAGGGATGGAAATAGAAAAGCCTTAAATCCTGGTCAAACATCATTTGGTGTGTAAATGCTAACAGACGAGGGCAGGAGGCCACATGTGACTCTGCAAGACCAGGGACACTGTTTGGCAGAGAGAAGGCGGGAATAACGGAGGGACGGATGGTTTGCACAGTTGTGGAGGTTGAAATAATGATGATTATTATTCAAATGACAATGACAAAGGTCACAATGACAATATAAGCAATGAAACTGATGATAATGATGATGTTTTCTCAATTCTCATCTCCTCCCTCCTCTGTGATGATTTTCCAGCTGCACATGAATGTTGGCAATGATCTCTGTGATAACTCAAGGTTTGACTGACGACTTCCCGCAGTGCAACCGTGACTGCAATTTAGAGTCCAAGGTGCAGCTGAAGAGATTATTGGTCATGGCAGACCGGATAGATATTATCATAACAAGATCTGCAAAATCTCCTGCTGTTAATTTTGTTTTAAGGAATTATATTTGTGCACAGTTTGATCATTTTAATCACTTGAATTATTCAACTTATTCCACTGGATGAAACTCCTTTACTCTAGCAAAAATGGTGAGTAAAGATTTGAAAAGGAGAACTGAAACATCTACTGCAACAGTGGCCTAAAGGTTAGTGAAGCAGGTTAGTGACCACCAGATCAGTCCCTGCTTAGGGCTGTAACCAACAAAAAACAGAGATCATGAGTCAACCCAACGCACCCACCCCCGCCACAATAATGTGAATTTCTCATGTTTTACTTATTTAGTTAACTATTTCATAATATTTCTTTTTTTTATTTATTTATTATTTCCCAGAAGGCTTTAAGACATGAAGGCAGTTTCAAAGCACTGCCCAAAATAACATTCTGGTGGATAAATTCTTGAACATTTACCAGAAAATTAGTCAAACTTCCCCCAAATACCAAGAAGAATACAGAGTATTATAGCCTCAGTGTACTCAACAGCTCTGTTCCCTGACTGGCAGGATATGTCTGGGGTAGGGAAAGTGAAAGAGCAGCATTACCACTGCTGAGATGGACCTGAAAAAGGCCCTCTTAACCTGCCTTACTGCTCCGTGGAAAATAGATCAGACTGTGGTTGTACTGGGCAGCTTCCAGGTGTGCAATATGTGCGACTGGCAACTTAACAATATTAATTTGAGAGAATTATTTTGGTAATTTGAGGAAACCACAACACTGAAAAACAGCTGCTAACCTGCTGCTAACAACATGGCTGGCTCATGTGGTGTCCTGACTTTTGAGACAAGATTGGGAAAAAAGAGACTTTGGTAAACAAGATGCTACAAAATACATACATAATGTCATCACACTGTAATGTTCGATAAGGCAAACACAATGAACTGTAGCATTATCGCTCAACAGCTTTAAGCTGCGTGTACATTGAGCATCTTGGTTTTTCTGTTACAAATCTTGCTGTCCTTGGGTGGCTGTAACCCTTAAACCTTTGACAGCTCACAATTTCTCATAAAGCAAGAAGAAAATAGGATTTTTTTTTTGTCCATTCTCACGCTCTTACACACATACACAATACGAAATACACTTTTATATTTGTGTCATGAACGTTTTCCCAAAGGAAATAAAGCGTAAATCACATGATGAATATCCTGTTCACTCTACTGCGTGTGTGTGTGTGTGTGTGTGTGTGTGTGTGTGTGTGTGTGTGTGTGTGTGTGTGTGTGTGACGACTGCATGCAAGCGTTAAATGCATACCGTAGGTGTAACGTTTGTTCTTAAAATTTGCTGCATGCGATTTTCTGTCTGGACGGTTAAAGCAATGTTTTGTATTCTGCTGACGTCTTCTCGTCTAGCAGCGAAGGGTTGGTGTTCAGAAGCTGAGACAGAGAGCAGAATGGAAAACAGAGGCAAAGAGGAAGGAGGAAAACTTTTTACCTTTGCAGACAGAGGACCTCTCCGAGCCAGCTGAGTCTCGCCACGCTTTTCACATCACTATCAAAAAGAGAGAAAAGGGGAAGGGGAGAAGGGGAAAGGAAGGGTGGGTGGAGGCAGAGGGTGGTTAGAATGACAAAGGTGAGACATTTTTGAAAATTGTTTGGCAGCAGCACAGACTGACAGACTGCCACATTAAAAACCCAAAACAGGGGCAACTGAGCAGCACTGGGAAACGAAAACCACAGGAGTGAAAATTAAGTTTGGACTCAGCTTTTTCCCCTGGTTACTGTGGTAAAGTGAAACTCGTTAAATAATAATAAAAATTGGATTTATATAACGCAATTAATAGGACACCTCAAAGCTCTATGTGTGTCAGAGGGGGAGGAGAGATAGACTGAGAAATGGGACACAGGAGATAAAAAAAAAAGCATGGGATTGTTGAAATAAGGCCTGTGTGAAGAAAAAACAGAGGGGATTCCCATTAGAGAGACAGATGAAGGGACGGCTGAGGATGACAGCAACATCTGACAGTTGGCAAGTCAATGATGGACAGAGAGAGGGAGACGGAGAGAGACGGAAAGAGCTCCTATTTCCAAGGCTAATCCATGGCTCTGCCTCACAGGAAAAACACAATCTCATACGGAGAGAGTTAACCACCTTCTCTGTCCTCTCTGTCACATGACTGTTCATCCTTAAGTGTCAAGTAGACCTCTGTGTGTGACTGTATGTCTGTCTTTAATATATAAAGGGATATAAAAAGACTTAAATGTGGTGAGTAAAAGTAAGCCCAACTAAGAAAACTACCTGTTACTGTAAAGTGTTGTTATGTTGTCCAACCCCCACCAAAATATGACAAGAGCTTATTATAAATGTTATACAAGCAACAGGTAAACCAATTACCATAAACTTGAATCAACACCTTGGACACAGTCTCATAATATGCTTCACAAAGACACAGTTGACCATTGTCTATGCCCAGTTTGTTACTGTTGTTACACCCTTCAAACTTTCTGTTCTGGCACCGCACATACAGATGGCAGATTTGCCTCTCAAAATGTGCATTTTTTTTTAACAATGGTTCTTCAATTTCTCAAGTATGCAGAAGTAGGCTTCTTATTTCTAGTTGATGACAGTGAAGCTTGTCGGCTGAAAAGTTTGGATATAGGCTAGAATAGGTTGTGTTTTTGATTTTGGGAAAGGCTAAACAAAAGACTCCACCTTCCAAACTCTTTAGTGCTCTTGCTACACACACATGTAAGGCACTTTAACATGTTAAAAAAAATCCAAAACCTGCTCTTCCTATGTATGGTTGCTAAACTACGACTGGACATCTCTGTTCAGGGGAGGGGTTTACCCAACGATCAACTTGTTGTAGGGTTATAAATTGAATTATGTTCATGATATTTTATCCAACCCTTTAAGTCTATTAAACCTAGTCCTCATGATGATAGGCCTAAGTGTTATTTGACTGCTTTGCAGCACATTCAAATGCCAAGTGTCTTTGCAGAATTACCTATTAGATTTAAAAATCATGAAGTAATAATGTGAACCAAATAATCTCATTATCTACATTTTTATAGGATAATTTAATGCAAATTGACTGAATGTTTATATTATGCATGCGCTATTCTGACTAGTCTAGTTTTTTGTCAAGGTGCTTTTCTGCATCATAACCTCTTTGTGGTATAATTTGACACGCAAGGGTTTTCATCTGAGCAGTACTGGGATTCAAAAATCACTCTGCAAAAAACAAGGATTTTTCATGTAAATTCTTTTGATGACATTTTCCTGACAATGGTGTTACCTATTTTAGCGCAGGACACGCATGTAATTCACACAGTGTTTGTGTGTGATTTTCTACAGTACATTAATGGTTACAGTGGCGATTTCATTACTGTGATTTCCACAGTAACATTCCTTACTACTGTAATAATAAATTGAATAGCACGTTACTGTTTTTTTTACAGTGTACAACTATATTTTGGTCTTTTTGGGCAAGTCCAAGTCAAGTCTCAAGTCCTTTGAGACTGATCTAAATCAATCTCTCTCACTCTTGAGCATGGAGGTTCACTCTTGATCCTTGGATGATTCACTTGCCAATATAATTCCACTGTGGGCCAGATGCATAAAACTATAGATTGATGACTAAAACAGAAACATGCATAGGCATTTTCACCAGATTTATAAGGCTGTGTGTACACCTAATTCTGTTTTATGAATCTCAATCATTGTGGAGCATGTGCAAGCACCCAATTTCCACTTCCACAGTCCATAAATGGATGTAGAAACAATCACTTGTATTGTATATCAATACTTTCTCCCATACCTATTAGACCTGTCAATGTGAAGAACAGCAAAGAAGAAGTGCATGCCGGCTGTGTTGCATCGCAAGGTTCTCCAACAGCACCAGAGCAGCTGTCATTACAGACAAACCATTATGCACAGCTGTGGCTATTTTTAGTGCCCATACCACTAATTCATCACATGTATCTGTAAATCATTATTGTGGTGATATCTCAATCATTATGAGTAAACAAAGGATTATTAATGATTCATTTGTAGTGCTCATATTTAAACAGACTTTACAACGTGCTTCAAAATTCAGGATAGAATAAAAAGACCATTACCAGAGAAATTACGGCTCAAATGTAATAAAAAGTAAAAAGAAAGATAAAATGAATCATTCATAAATAATTTGAAATTAAGTTTATAAATTTCCTTTGATTGACATTGACAAATGATAATACAGTCTGTAAAAACAACATAAACATGTTTTACAACAAGGTTACAACTCTCACCTTACATTTAATATCCTCCTTATTGTATCAGCTGCAGCTACATCTGGTCTGAAATATGTATGATGTGCGCACATTCTCACTGCATAAATACCAGGTTGTGTGGGATATAGCGTATGCATGTTTTTTGTGCGTACAAATCATTTATACATCTGGCCCCTGATGATGGTGCTATTATCCCAACAATATCCTTTCCCTTTTTCTTTTGTACTTCACGGATCTCATATCTGTTTTGACCTGAAATAGGAAGGCCCATTCTTGACCCACTCTCTTTTTTTTCAGGTTAGCCAAGTCAAGTCAAAATTCTTTATAAACATAGTCAAGCTTTGGATCTTTAAAAATCTTGAAAAAGGGCATCTACTTCTTCTACCTCATTAAAAAATACCAGAATCCATAAATATGCACATTTTGTAAATTTCTAAACTTGTCTGCTACTTCACTGTAAAGTCCACTCTCTGTGCACTGGTGGCTTCAAGTTTCTACATCACACTTGTATAAGTTACAAACTGCACCAGGCTTGACTTCCCCCCCTAAAAATCTGATTTTCAGTGAGCACAGAGAAACTTTCCATTTTCAGCAGATGACTGTGAAAACATCCTTCTAGTGTCAAACTCTGCAAAAACATCATTCTGAAGTGAAGATCAAACATCCAACTTCAGAAACAAGAAGAAAAACACATCTTTAAATGGAGGGGGACTTGTGTGTGTCATTTAATGGTCAGCTAGTGTTTTTACTTAGTTGAGACATTATCTTTTCAAGGCTTAGCCCTAATAAATTAATATTTAGTATGTGTGTGGCAATATTCCAGGATTTTGCCAGTCCCAGAGACGTCCCGGAGAAGTCAAGTCTTAGGTCAATAGGTCTAAAGTCTACAGCTCTAGTCTGCACTTTGAGCCAAATCTATTACATTTACTGCTACTTAAACAATCAAAAGAAAAGAAAAGAAGAAACAACTGATCATATAATAAACAGATACATTTTATTTTCAAGAGAGCTGTTTGGGCCTGAGGATGTAGAGATGGACAGAACCAACAGAGAGAGAAAGAGAGAGAGATACTGAATGAGGGGGATGCTGAGAAACAAGAGGGGGCCTGAATGAAATGGCAAAATAGACAACTATTACAAATGAATAGCTGTTGAGTGTTACTGACAGCTGAATGGTAATGCTATAACACATGTAGCGATATTGACGTGTGTTTGTGTCGATGCAGTCCTATGAGCCTGAATAAACAGTTGAATGTTCTGTCAACATCACTGATGAGCTCCCGTGCTCTGAGCTCTACTGCAGAGATCAGTTTTTCATCACAAACGTTCTTTAATCACTGCAGGCGATAGAAGACAAACTCCTCAAATATACGACTGCGCGCAAATACTGTACCATGAATCGTGGAGATAATTTTGTCTTGGAAGTTTTTTTTTTGGCTTCAGTACAACTGGCCATTATCTAAGTCATTGGACATTAAAAACTTGCTGAAAACAACACAAATGAAAATCACTCAAGTGAAGCATCATGAAGTGGAAGAGGAAACCGAGAAAAACCAAAGAGAAACAAAGGGGGTAAAACACGAGGGGAGAGATGGATGAGGAGCCTGCAGAAAAACAAAGAATAACTAAGAACAGAGGCTCTGATGCATTACTGCTGGCAAATTAGCTAAACATAGAAACTACTACTGAATTGTCACACACACACACACACACACACACACACACACACACACGTATACAGCACTCTTTAGCTTTTCCTTGTGCATCAGCAGTGCGTTTGCTTCTCTGTAGTCCCCTTGACTGCGACTGGAGAGGACAGCAGAGAGAGGAGCTGGGTGTTTATTGTTATCCTCACAGACTGGAGTCTGTAAAGGCTAAAAACACAGTGACCAGCGAGCCCAGGAGCAGTGTGAGTGAGTCAGACTCAGCTGGTCTCCATCAGTGGGAGGTCTGCAGTGTGGGATATCTGATTTGTTGCAAAAAAAAAATCAGGTTGGCCGGAGGCAAGCTCAGGGCACACCGAGCCGGTCATGGGAGCCTCGGTCTGACTCTTCTGGATGTCATATCTCTTGACTGCTAAGCAACGTATATGTTGTTTGTGCAATTTACCATGTGATATATGTTTAATGCATGTGTTGTTTTGTTGTTGTTTCCTAAAGTGACGGTGAAAAATTTCCAAGTAAAAAGGTGGACCTGCTATCAGTGATAGTAACAAGGCAAATAGTATATATATATTTTAATAACAGATTCATTTTTTTCTCAAGTCTCTTCCTTCAC